TCCTTTCAAGTTTTTCTCTATAACATAAATTACGTAACCTCTTACTTCCTTGATCAATCAACTTTGTATCCTTACAGCAACTTGTAATTTATGTTTTTAAAGCACACAGTGGATTTGAGGTTGATATACGAGTGCATGTTATTTATGTGAACAAAACAAGGAAGTGTCTTCATGTAGGCTAGTGTTCGGCACAGTCAATACTGCTCAAAATCAGTGAAATTCAGAGTGTACTACTAGAAATATTGACGTAAAATATTGATGTAACGACTGAACAGATGTCGTTTTTGAGCACATCACGGTTTTAGGGTCACGGTTCGGTATGTGCTATTCATAATAACAAATAATCAAACTAATGCAGCTAATACAATAGATACAATAGAGCAAAGATACAAATCAAATAAACAATTTTCAGGCACAGAAATTTAAAAGTTAGTAACTGCCAGATTTGTTATGCTTTTGAACACATTTACCTCAAAATGATGGGACCTATGTACTCACACCTTGTAGCTACTATATAATATATTATATATATATATTTCCTGATCATAAATTTAGGGGTGTGGTTAAAATCAGTCTCGGCCAATGGACTAAAACATACACTGTTTCGGTAGTGTCATGGAAAATGTGGGACACATTTTTTTACATAAAGTTTCATAATTTACAAAGAAAATATAACAATTCTTGAATACTTTTTAAAAGAATAAAAAAAAATAATAAAATTCAATATTTTCATAAGTTGAAATTTATAGGTTAGGGTTCCGGACAGCCACCTCCCAATTGAAAGTTAAATTAATTAATCTATGACACAATGAATTTAATATCATTAGTGAAATGTGCTCATTTATTTTAAGTTGATTCTCAAAAGTCTGTGATTTTGAGTGAGGTCTGTTTGTATTTGACTTTGAGTTATTTTGTACATTTAAAAGACTGTATACAGCCAAACAGCTCAAGTAGGAAAATACTTGAGAAATACTGGTAATACTGCACTAGCAAAGCTACTGCTCACTGAACAAGGCTTAATGCTTTAGAGGAGTAGTAGCCATAACCATAAGCTCTACTCTTCTGCACAATGGAAACGATTGCACTGTGCAATGGAAACTTCAATGTAACAGAAACTCTTTCAAATGTCAAACATAACTGAACATTAAACATTAATAGATGTTTCCCTTCACTCAAAAACACATAAAATAGCATTTAATTTCAAAATTTACTCTCAACATCCAGCCATATGCAAAGCATGCTGGGAACTAACAATCACCTCTAAAATAAAACTGCAAAAATTGAGCTAATTCTCTTAAAATAAATAGGTAGCCTTCTTTCCTTAATTTTTTTGTTTAATCAGTTCCTCAATTCAAGCCCCAAAACTGCTCAAGTTTCCTTTAAAAAAATGAGGAAAACACATCTCTTTGTTTTATTAGTAAAAAGTCCTCAATATTTTCTATACAACACTGAGTCACAATTTCTTTAATGAAACATACACACTATTTTTAATTATCATTTAAAAAAACTAAATTTTTAAAATGAAAATTACAAGACCCATGATTCATCTTTTACAATGATATACTAATATTTAAATTTGTTTGAAGATCTGAAACATTAAAGTGTGACAAACATGCAAAAAAATAAGAAATCAGGAAGGGGGCCAACACTTTTTCATACCACTGTATATATATATATATATGTATACACACACACACATAATGCATGAAAAAATTAATAGTGTGCTTCAGTGAAATTCAGAGGGTGTTGACAACTGGTCCAGCATGAGAGACTGACAGATAGGCCACAGCTACATTACATATGATCAAATTAATAATTAAAAACATCACTGAAAGCTTTATTTATCACAGGTATGATATTAAAATTCTGTAACCATTTCATAGTGAAATTTCAATAGGCTACATGGAAAAACTGATTAGAAAACAGCCCTGATCTCTGCTCCTGAGAAGACATGGAGTAAAAAAAAAGGCAGCAAAACATGTCCATCTGTTCTACTACTACTTTCGTTTTTGCTTATGAAAATCAGCTAAAAACCCTGTTTTTTATACCAAGTATGTAACAGTTTATGTTTAAAAATGTATAAAAGTCTAATATGGTAGTGCCTATATCTCATACAATTAAGGAGCCTTACCATCATCCTAAGCAAATAAAATCTTTGTGAGACAAATTCAGATAAAAAAGGCACAAAACACCTTTGATTAACAGTCTTATTACAAATGCCCTCAACAGCGTGGTGATAAAATAAATGATGCTGTATCTCTGCACAAATTGTCCTTCCTTGAAGCTGAGATTTAGGAAATAATGAGTTGCACTCCTGATCGTATTTATTCGTTAAAGATCTCAGCATATCCTGTTGTACGTGTGAAGGGCTCAGGGTTGAGTTATTGCTATAGCTGTGTTAGCTGACTGGATGTGTTCCACCTGAGCAATGGTCTGATCACCGAGAGCTTGAACTAAGCTGTCTGCGTGATTCTGGCCCAGAATGGTCTCCGAGTACCTACATTTTGCGGAGCCACACTGACAACGGAAGTACTTTTTCTTGATTTGCCAGTAGGGATCACCATAGTCAAACCTGATGAAAGAGCAAAGAAAATCTGTTTTAATTCAAGCAACCTGGGGAATTGCTTTGATTACAAATATATCAATGGATACATTAAACAAATAATGAGGAAAAAAAGAGCTGGAAGGAAAAAAATATAAAGGTTTACCCAAGCTCATCTCCAGCTTGAATAGCCTTGCTTGCATAGAGTGCAATTCGAGGAAAGCGCATGTCCTGGTGTTTGGTGAACACCCGTGCCGGGAATAGATTGGGTTCACAAAGGTGATTCATAAACCTACTAACATTACCATAAAACTGGGCATCAATGCAGTAGACCTCTCCAACCTAGAAAAAAAATCACCATTAAATACACACAAATATAAAAACGATTCAAAAGAGGTGTGCTTGAGCTCTGTTCACATTTTAATATACTTTAGCGCCCCCTGAAGATGACATGTATGAAAAGCACTCACTTGAGAAAATGATAATCTTATATTTTAGCATCATTTTGACAAGACTTGCCTTATTGTCTAGGTTGAACATGTACGAGTCATATTCTCGAACATGAGCTTCTCCATCTGAAATGATTTCACCTGCAAACCTGCACACAGAGAAAAATCCTCAGGGCACAAGTATTGGACCAAACCAGCATGAGATTAATCATGTCTGAATAATTGATAATTCCCCTAATGGCTTTCATTTTTGTAGCAAATTTGCATTAAATTAATATCCTTGACACTGCAGTCAGTAGGAGAGTTCTTCAGAATGCAGGCACAGCTTCCTTATTATGCTGCATGTAATTTTTTCATTTTAAAATACTTTTATACCAGGTTAACATGAAGAGACAAGTACAATAAAAGCCATTTATAATGGGCCCCAGCAAACTTCCAACGAAGCCTCACGATAACTTCAAATCATTTAAAATAAGCCAAAACAACTAATGGAAATATTCCAATATTATTTTAATATTAATATTAATTAATTAATTTTTCTTTAAAGAACCAGGATTCCCAGGATTGTCCTGCATATATCATTTTAAACGTGCCATTTGTACACCTGAATTTTTTATAACAGATATACATTTTTTCTAGATGTACCAAGCCCTAAAAAATGATTGGGTAGAAATTAGCAAAATTATATATTTAAAAATCCTTATCCAGTAAATCAAAAACAACTGGAAAAGTCGCAATGCCTTTGAATAATTTTGTTGTGGATTCATGCTTATTTTTGTGTATTTTTTTTAATAATGTGTAAAGCAATAGATCTAAAGAAAGGGTCATACTCGCATACGAAAGTTCCCTCATGAATATCCTGCAGTGCTCGGACCCCCCAGCCCTTCCTCTCAGTCCTAAACACCTGCAGTCTAACCCTAAAGACGAGACAATTATGAAGTTGTGAGTATGTAAATTCAAAGTTCACAACACATTCAGAGAATATGCAAAAATACATATATACTAGTTATATTACCGAAGGCCATTCTGTATCACTCTATTTCGGCATGTTCTCCAACAGGAACAGGCATGGTTACACTCAAACAGGAAGGGTGGATCATCCCTGCAGATCTCTTTCAACAAGCGGCCATCCTGAGCACAAAGAAATAATAAATACTACTAATTTTAATAATAAGCATTACACAAATCATATGGTCATGATGACATCACAGCACGATCATGATTAGTGACTATTAATATGTTGTGGAACAGCTGCGAAAGAGCTGGGATTGGCAACATCTATTGTTTATGTCACTGAATTATTCCTATGTCATTTATTTTGCTAACGTGAATAATTCAGCACTAGCAGCATCTTACCTTGTCATACCAACAGCGCATGCTGAGCTGGCCACAGATACAGCTGCTTGATGCACAGTCATCTTTACAACTGCAGTGCTATTCCAGTGAGAGAGAGAGAGAGAGACGAGCATTTCATATAGCTGTAATAACAGCGTTAACCTTGTTATGGCTTTTGACACTACGATTCTCTGAGCCTCTTACCTGTAAATGCGTTATGTTCTCGTCTATATTCACTTGAGAGGTAAAACAGTTCTCTGGAACGTATTTGAAGTTGCTGGGGCAGGGCTCATGGTCCACCCCATTCACGCATGTCACAGGGACGTCTTCATAGCCTCGGGACACATCTCTGAAAACCAACACACATCAGTCCCACAATCAAATAATATTTCACATTCTGTGTCAAATGTTCAATACATTTTGAGGCCAATCTTCCTTCCCAAGGAAAGCAGGAGGCAGACTCAGAAATGTGTGGAGACTATAGATTTCTTGTAGTCAAGCTAAATGAATGGGATAATGTTTCAGTTGTTGCCAGTTTTCTTTGGTTTTCAATGGAACAGAAGCTGCAAAAATCTTATTTGAAAATAAGCAGTACTGATTAATTCAATATAAATATTGCATTACAGTATGGACTTGAAATTCATAGAAGTTTCCATAGCTTAAAAAACATAGAGGCCAATCATTACTATTTTCTATCGTTTTCTGTTCTGTAACATTTTGTGTATTATCAATATGAAAAAAAATTATTTAGTGTTTAACAACAAACTTATCTTGTCAAAATTTTCTTGAGTTTTTCTTGAATCATCTCAAGACAAAAAAAGACAGTAAAAAGCAATTTCCCTTTTTTATTGAGGATCGTGCATTGAGACTTATAGAATCATAAAATTAATGGTGGTTAATTAAATATCAATAATGTTTTTGTTCAGAAAAAAATAAATAATTCCAGCATAAATACCAACAATATCTTAGCCTTTATGTGGGGGCTTGGAATACTGCATTGGGCTCACAAAGAAAAAAATGTTTTAATCTCTATATTTTGCTTTAGCATGCCAGCAGGAAGTATCAATTTGTATTTCCAAACATTTCTCTTGCCATAAATTGTATTTCAGTAAGATATTTTTATGCACAATGAGTCTCGAAAAACCGAAATCTAATCTCACTATCATCAAGCCTGTCGGCGGTTACATAAAGAAATAGAAAAAAATGGAGACAGACTAAATCCGTAAGAACTGTAGAAACATCTCCAAGACGCTTGGGAAAAAATTAGAATATGTAACAAAATACAAAAAAACCGTCTGTGATATTACCCTGCAAAACAGAAAGATTTGAGCCTAGTATTCTTGCATTACCTGCAGAGGAGTCTTTCACTTAGGCTGTCTCTGCCTCTCCGAGCATCTGTCAGCTTCTTATTGGTGTTCAGGATTGTCCACATCTTGGAATTTATACTACAGCAGTCCAAAGGAGTCTCGCCATCCTTGTTCTTCAGATTTACATCTACTCCTCGCGACAGAAACAGCCTAGAAAACAGCCAAAGCTTCAGATTAGTCCTTTTACAAATGACAGTTTCAACCGTAAACCTTTGTCTATTCTCGGATGATAAAAACATTAGATTAATTGAGGGACTCCAAATTGGGGTTCATTAGTGAGGGAACTACAGGAGGTGGATTGTGAATTGGAGGAAAGCTAATACTGAATTAAATCAACTGAATTTAGTATTAGTTTATTATTTAGTATTTATTACTGAAATAAACACTTTTCTTTATCTGATACATTTTATCTATTTGAAAGTTTGGGAATCCATGGATTAATTCAGGATGCCTTATGTAGAATTGCAAATAGTTTAACTGAACTCAATTCAAATTAATAAACTTCACACTGTTATTGGTCTGAACTGAAGCAACACTGAACTGAACTGCCTTAAGATAAATAATAATAACACTATTGTATTTTAGAGATGCTTTACAGCTGAATCTGACTTGAATACCATTTAAAAGGTCTTGCTCCCAGTTAACTAGGTATACTCTTTCTGTTCTACACTTACATTACACAGTCCAGCTGGTTCTGTCTGACAGCAATGTGGAGAGGTGAGTCTCCATGGATGTTCACAGCGTGTAGGTCAGATCTCTTGTCAAGCAGCAGCTGAGCGATCTCATCACAGCCAGAGAACGCTGCCCAGTGGAGGCAGACATTCTCCTCCTAGATAACATATCAGACCACAAGTAAAATTCATCTCTGGATGATAAAATCTAGTGTTCCAAAGTTTGGGGTTGATAAGATTAGTATCACATGATCCTTCAGAAATCATTCTAATATGCTGATTTGGTGCTCAAGAAAAAATGTCTTTTTATTATCAATGTTGAAAAGAGCTTTTTCGGGATTCTTTGATGAATAGAAAGTTCAGAGAACAGCATTTATTTGACAAATATTTTTTGTAACAATGTAAATGTATTTACTGTCACTTGATCAATTTAATGCCTTCTTGCCGAATACAAGAATGTATTAATCTTTTGAATGGTAGTGTACATGCTCCGCCAGAAATCTATTAACTGCAGGCAATGCGTTTGCGCAGTCTGATTTCAAAGATCATCAAATAAGGTGAAAGAAGTGCATCAAAAAGCTGAAAAATTGAGATGAAATACTCAGTCACAGACCTTATCTCTTATTTGGACATCAGCTCCCACTGAGATCAGCATCTTCATCTGCTCTAGATTCATGTTCTCAGTTGCCCAGGTAAGAGGAGCCCACCCACCATCATCCTGACCAGAAGAACAAACCCATAAACTCAATTCAATTATTATAATCCCTTTAATATCAGCACCTAAGCACTCCAGCATCCATAAAGCATCTAAGAATGGGTAGTTTTGCTGTCAAGTACTGCTTATAACATCCTTTAAAAAAGCCATTTAAGGGTAAATAAATATGGCATGTACAGAAAAATATATATTCTACAAACTCGTGCACAGTGTTACCTTACAGTTGACGTCTATGGATGGCATGGAGACAAGATACTGCAGCACACCTGTGTGTCCTCCTCTGGCTGCCAAGTGAAGACATGTAGAGCCTCTCATATCCTGTGAAGTGAAGGCATAAATTACCAGAGCTTAAGCATGCAAATACCTTGCATACTGAACACGTGGCATACAGTGGCTTAGGGACTTCAATTCCTCATTAACTTAATGGGTAGCATAAGATAACTGTAGCAAAACATTTTGTATTTCACAGCTGATTGACAGAAAAGGCTGGCTATCATACCTTATGCCCAGTAGAAGCACCAGCTTTCAGCAAGTATTTCACTGTTTCTAGATGATTGTTCTCACAGGCATAAATCAGAGGAGTTCTCTGCTCCGCATCACACATGTCCAGGTTCGCACCAGCCTATAGTGAGATAAAGAGATCCTTTATATTCTAAAATTTTGCATTCATTATATTGGATGTAATCATGGAAAATGGAATATTAAAAAAATTATAAAAGATAAAAATTAAAAGATAAAAAAAATCAAATCAAATAATAAAAGAAACTAAATAATTTAAGTTCATACCCATGTTATACAAAGTAATGGCATTAGGTCCTATTACAACTGGTTTTAATTCTTATAAAAAAAATAATAAAAATGTTTCTTGACCACCAAATTAGCTAATTAGAAGAAAAATGTGACACTAAAGAATTAAGTAATTCAACTTTGCCATCACAGGAATAAATTACATTTTGAAACATTAAAAACAAACAAAAAATCAAATCGTAATAATATGCATCAATATCTGTTTTTACTGTATTTTAATTTAAAAAAAAAATACAGTATGCCGAGCATAAGAGACATTTTCAGTAACATAAAAAACTTACAGACCCTAAACTTTTGAATGGTAGTGTATACTTTGAAACACAGATCATTTTTGAATGTGAATGTGTGTTACTAGCATAAGCAGTACCTGCACTAGTATATGGCAGATCTCTTTATGTCCCTCCTCAGCAGCACAATGCAAGGGAGTCTTCCTCTTCTCACTGTACATCCGCAAGTTTGGGTCCACACCTTCCACTGATTACCATCAAAACAATCACAGTTATCAATCATAAAGCTTGATATAAGATAGATTTTTTTGAGAAAGGTCATACCCAGCATATGCAGGATCCTCTGGAGCTCTCCTCTCTTAGCAGAGAAATAAAGCTGCTTTGGGGGCAGCTTGAATTTCTTATACCTTTAAAAATATTCAATACTTATTTTAAGCAAACAAAGCAAATCTATAACTGTTGAACAGTCAAATAAACTAATGCATTTAATTAATGACACAAGATCAGAATATCACTGATGTACAGGACTAAGATAGGACTGATGCAGACACAGATCCTTACTTCCCATCCTCGAGTGCATTTAAAACGCTTTCCAGTGATTCTTTAGCAGGGTCTATTGCTCCCCCAACAGTTACAGAGTCTACTTTAGCCCTGCTGTGAGACACAATCACAACGGATATATAACAACATAACCAGGGTGCGCAAACACATCACAAAATTATATGTGAACAGGTAGAGATAAACATTTTCAAACACCAGGATGACCTAAACTTACTCCATTAAGGCGGTGTCTCTTTTGTGCGCGGGCACAGCAGCTGTTGGCACTGCAGTAACACAGTCAGGTTTGGGGATCGTGACCTCCTTAGCATGACTAGCCTCCTCGCCGCAGTGGGGGCAGTAGACCTGACCTCTGATCAGAGAGGCACAGCTCCGGTGAAAGCGGTGAGAGATGTTCCCATCTGGCTGACATTCCATAAACGTCCCCTGGATTAGACACACCGCTATAATATTAGTTTTGTAATTTCAATGTATCAGAGTTTAAACTCCATAGTTGAACTATTAAAGATGCAACTTTTTGTCAGCACTTAAAAAATATGTTTAAAGTAGTGGTTGATCAGCTTCGTTTTTTAAAAAAAATCATTATTTTCACATATTTTACTAGGGATGCACGATATTATCGGACTAATATCGGAATCGGCCGATAATGGAAATTATGAAAAATATGAAAAATTATGACGATATGTCTTGCCCATAAGAGGAATACATTAACTCACATGTGCTTATATATACTTAATGTGTAATATGTTTTATTTTTTAAACAAATCATAAGCTCTAAAAGATTTTCAGAATTTTTACAACTCTTTTGCTTTAGAACATCTACAAATGTTAAATCTTAAAATAAAATGTTAGGGTTAACACTGCATCTTTCTGGGGGAAAAATACAGCGATTGATATAGAGTTTATTTATAGTTATTTTCAAAGCTTCAATGTACTGTAAAAAAACCTTCATTATTGTTTAATTCTAACAATTAAGTTCTTGTTAAAAACTAACCAAAATTAAAAATAATTATATATCGGTATCGGCATCGGCTATCGGCCAAAATGAGTTGAAAATTACCAGCATATCGGATATCGGCAAAAATCCAATACCGTGCATCCCTATATTTTACCTTTATTCTACACCAGTTTCCGTTCTTGTCAAAACGGTCTGTTGAGTTCCTGGTTGAGTTCCTATGAAATACACAATGGGCTCAGATTGGTTAGCTGGCCCAGTGTGTTGTGATTTGCTAACCGCCTTGTGCACATTGTCCGGAAAAGTCACGCCCCCCAACTACCCACTATGGGTAGTTGCATGTTCCTGGGGGCAGGGTTTATGTAAACATCAGGGTTAGTGATGTCACAAACCCAAGAAGAAGCTCATTGTAGTCCATACCAGCCTTTTTTGTAGTCCTTAAACAGCAATTTCTTAAAAAGAAAATAACTCCCTTTGCATTGAAGGATTGAACTTTGAGCGTTGTAACTTTGCAGATGTTGTTTATGCTCTAACAGCAACATTACACAGTAAAAATGTGAAATCAATCAACCACCGCTTTAAAATCAAGCCCACTCACATGAGACCTAAGAAAATCTGTTTAATTCTACATGGACCTCACAAAACGCTTATTAATCATGGCTGACTGCTAATAGCTGATAAAATGTGATGATAGCACATTTCTACAATGAGGATCATGTGACACTAAAGACTGGAGTAATGGCTGCTGGAAATTCAGCTTTGCCTTTACAGAAATAAATTACATTTTAAAAATATATAAAAATAGGAAACATGAAAAACATTATTTTCATGAAATAACTGTAGCCTTGGTGAACGTAAGAAAATATAAAAAAACTATTAAAAAAAAACTATATTAAAAAAAAACATTAAAAAAAATCTTTCTGACCCAAACTTTCTGAACGGTAGAGTATACAGTGGGTACGGAAAGTATTCAGACCCCCTTCAATTTTTCACTCTTTGTTATATTGCAGCCATTTGCTAAA